ATCCTCCTTATAGCTGTGCTCCGAGAGCTGTACTAACTAAAAGCACCTGAAGTGTCATGTGAATCTGCGTCCCTGCACTGAAAAGGGTGGTAAGGCACTCTGAACTACTATAAAAGCTCATCAAACCACTTTAGTTTAAAGCACCCTGCTGCCATATTTCAGCATGGAAACACTGATACATGTTATGCTGGAGTCTGCTGGAGCATGGTAATTACAGTGCTTCAGCAGACTCAATTAATTGAGTCTGCTCTGATGCACTGTAATTACAGCATGTCAGAGCAGCCTCCCTGAATGTGTATAGACACCCAAAGAGTTCATTATCAGTACTCCCAAATTTACTCTATTTGACCACCACTTTCTTACCCAAGTATTTAAAAAAAAATTGCAGTTACAAATGAGCATTTTTTCTCCCCACAAGATAAATGTTAAGCCATCTATGTAAATTCAGAATGTGTTCAAGTGTCTGATGCTGACCTGACATTAACAAAACGTTGGTGATGTCACTGGAATTACTGATTCACACCCACAACACATATCAAAATCCTCAAGTGCTCTTTCCTTTCAAACTTACCTGACATTTTTAAGCATATACAGAACTTCAGAAGGCAAATGAGAATTCTTCACATCAAATTCAGTTAGATCTGCTTCTAACAGGGAAGGAGGTGGCTCCTTTGGCTGCAAAGTTGGAGACTCCTTTTTGAAACGCAGAATCCTACAAAAGAAGAAACCTGAATGAAAAGGAGTCGGAGGGCTCAGTCAGTCTCTGCTCATGCTGCACTTTTGGATGACAAGATTCATTATAAAATCAAGTCTCCAGGTTTCCAATATAGCTGTTTGCCTTTCTGGCTAACACTAGTTTAAGAACATATGAATTCTACCTCCTCCTCCAATATTGTAAGCATCTCCTGGAGCAGATCTACAAATCTAGACCCACTGCTTGGAGGCAATCAAGGGTCAAAAAGGAAGTCTGCATGGGTTTCATGAGGGGACCCAGTCAGAATGAGCCAGACACTAACCTAGTACTTGAGCAGACAACAATTCCAGTAGTTACTTCAAGTTCATCATTACGGCTGTGTGAAGCTTCGGTCCCTGATTCGAGTCGGCCCAAATTGGTGGCCGAACCTCCGAATCAAATCAGAGGACCCTTTAATCTTGCCCAATTGATTCGGAACCCTCCAAAATGATTCAGAGAGATTCGGAAAGATTTGGTGATTCGGACATAAACACAGCTTTAAATGTTTTCTCTACATACCTCTAGGTAGCAGGCAGCTTGTGAATGCTGCAATGCTGGGGCACATGGAGTGTCCTACAGGAGCACAGGAGGGTCCCCAGCGCACTTGACAGCGGACCCCAAAGTGGACCAGAAGCACTTCCGGGTCCACCGGGGAGTGCACTGGGGGCCCGCCCCCTGGCTCAGTGACTGGTGCCTCCTGGGTCTGGGGAGGCACCCAGGGTCCCTCTGCGGCCAATCACCAAGCTGGGGCGGGGGGGACCCCCCCCTGCACTCCCTGGTGGACCTGGAATTTAACCAGAAGTACTTCCGGTCCACTTCCGGGTTCACCACTGAGCATGCAGGGAACGCCCCCACACTCCTGTGAGATGCTCCATCTGCCCTAGCATCGTAGCAATCACAAGCTGCACCTGGTACCTCAATGCATGTAGAAAAAACATTTAAAGCTGTGTCTATGTCCGAATTGCTGATTCTCTGCATCAGCATCAAATCTTTAGATTTGGATTCGGCCAAATCAAATTGGGGACAATGATCTGAATCAGCAAATCAAATCACTGTCCCTAATTTAGGCCAAATCCAAATTGAATAGGACCCGTTTTGCACACCCCTATTCATCACCTCCTCTATCCCCATCTCCTTCTTGAGCTGCCTACCTGCCACTATGCATCCCAGAAATTATGGAACATATTTCACAGAAATTAAGAACTAATATAGATCTGACCAGTTTCTGTTTATAGCTCAAGTTCTGGCACTTGTTAGGAGAAGCTGGGGGTGGACAGTAGGAGTGGGAGGCACAAGAAATGTAATTTACACATTTTTTACTCTACTGTTTTCATGAGAAGCAAGCAACGGTATTGGGAACTTCCCAACCTCAACTGATCTGTAACAAGTTTAGTAACCTAAAGACTACACGAACAGAAACAGATCAAGATCTCCTGAAATTCAGGTTCAGAAAGCAAATAGGGGACTTTCACCTTCATTCCTAGTGCCAAGAAAAAACAAAACTATACTTCCTCCAGTTTCAGTGTAAAGTGAACTATCTGCAAATAGCTGTGGCAGTTCACAAGATCCCAGTTATCAAAGAACTGTACCTTTTTGCCAGAAACAGAACTTTTGCCCTTTTCCGCATCCGCTGGCGAGGCACTGTGTTCCCAACTAGTGTGTTCGGGAGAGTGGTAACCTAGAAGAAAATAATGAAACACAGAGGATCTGTTTAAGAATTACAGACAATCACATGGTCTTGATCCTGCAAAGGATAACACAGAAGTAGTGTCCAGTGGCATCTAAGTAAACTTAAGACAAAGCATAAGGTTTTGCAGGACTGGGACAAGAATGAGCCCCAGAGCAGGAAGCAACTGCTTGTTTTGTACTTTTTTCCAAAAAAGAGTTAATTATACCTTTATTTTAATGAGGAACTAATACAATGGTGATGGATGATGCAGAAAACCCATAGCTAGACTCTTCCTAATCGAAGGCTGCCAGCCTCAGAAAGAAACAAGTAATCTTCTAAAGTGTAAATACTAATCTGGCAATCACTGACAATGGCACAAGGAGGTCTGATACACTTAAAAGTCACTGGACATAAATTTTAATGAAATATATAAATGCACATCCAACTATTCTTTTTAATGGTTGTACCTAAAGTGCCACCTGGTGAAGGCAGGCAAATACTACATCATCAAGAAAATGGTTCGCTAATGTTTTATTTTCATTTTATTGCACTTTTCTCAAGAAGTGCAATCCAGCTATCAGCATCCCAATTTTTATCCTGGAGGTTTCTTCAGTCCATGACTATGGTTTGTAGGTGTTAAAGCTAGGCAAATAATAAAGACAGAAGATAGCAATAGTAGTTCCTCTAACAGTTCCTCTACATGGACCAGCTGTTAAAGGGACATGTGACAGCTTGCCAAGGGGCTTCACAGCTAAGCCAGACAACAGAGGAACGTTGAGACTTGAAAAATCTTAGAGCACATTTATGCATGCTCCGGGGTGGGTGGGGACAGCACTTTTAATTCAAGTGGCTCCTGGAGCCAGTTAATTAATAAAGTACCACGGCATCGCATGCATCAGTCCCCACACTTAAAAATGGCACCAGGGAAGCTTGAACTAAAGCTCATTTGATGAGCTTTAGTTCAAGTACCTCCACCACCATTTTTAAGTGCAGGAATACTGATACACAAGATGCGGAAGGCTGCTGGAGCACAGTAATTACCACACTCCAGCAGACTCAATTAATCAAGTCTACTCCAATGCGTTGCAATTACAATGCAGCAGAGCAGCCTCTGTGCTTGTGTACAAGCACCCTTAGATTCTACACCACATTCTAGACACCAGTGTAGTCTCTCATACAAACACTTTAGCTTTCTGCTCCCATCACATCCAATTCCTATCCCAGTCCCCTCTAGCCTTCCCTTATTTTGGCCTACCCCTTCCACCCCAGCCCTTCTTTCAGTGTTCTTCTCTCCATCCACCTCTTTACATTCCCATCAGGTACTTCCCTTGTTCTTCCTGCCACCTGGACACCAACAGTCAGTGGGCATACACGAAGGGCACTCTACCTACTCTCAGTTTTGGTGCCAAAGTGTCCTTCAACAGCTGAGGGAAGCAAAGTCTTGCTCAACTCCAGCAACCCTGGAATGGAGCCTGTTCAATCGCACGGCAGGATTAGAATGCACACAAGCTATTTGGCGTGCACAGGAGGAGTCCAGGGCTAGGAAAAGTAGCATGGTCCACAGAGTCATTAAAATGTGTATTTCAGTCTGTAGCTGAATCAGACTCAGACTCAGAGTCATCGTTAACAGGAAATCTACATGTACAGTCCTAAATAATGTACTTTGACAAAATATGTTTTTCCTCATACTAAACAGCATGGAACTTCCAAGGACAAAAAAAGAAAAACCCCAAGTCTTTGGATGTTAATTTCCCTCTAATCTGGCAATCCAAGTATCTTCAGGATGGGACTGGCACCATGGTCCTTATTACTCAAAGAGGAGTTTTCAAGTAACCACAGATGACCATAACACAAACATGTTACAATGGGATTTTCTAATCAATATGCCTCCAAGACAAAAAACAGAATCAACTTTTAAGCAAAGACAATTATAAAAAATGTCCTCCATCATCTTCTGGATACAAAAACATGGAAAAGATTTCTGCTGCAGAATGGAATAGCATTGGCTAAGACTGGCTGACAAATATGCATAAACTAAGTCATCAAACAGATCCAAATGCAGGGGGCTTGATTATTCTCTTGCTGGCAATGCTCCTAAGAAATGGATTATGATGTTTAATTAAAGAAAACATTTAAGGAGTGTGTGTGAAGATTAGAAAATGGGAATGCTTTGACAACAACCCCTTTCAACAAGTTATTTAGATATTTCAGTCTGGGCCCTTTTCTTTTTGCCCATGGTGTTCTGAGCTAAAAATAGGACTGGAAACAGAATACCATGCATCAGCTTGCCATATGTATTCCTTGCTAGTATGTAGTCAGAATCAGGACTGCAAGTTAACTTTTAAATCTACACTTTTCATAAGATCTCCTACAGCATCACTAAAATGTCTCAGGTCAGATTTATCTGAGTCTGATCCCAAAGACCAAAGCCACGTGTACATGTATGAAACAGGAATCACCCACCCTTGTAAAAAGAGGGCAGGATGAAGGATATCAATTCTTCCTTATCTGGGTTGTTGTCCCATTCACCACTCCATAGTCACCCTGTTGTGCACTGTGGAAAAGGCAATGGCAGTTGCAAGGCAAGATGCAGTCCAGCCCAGGTCACCCCAGCCTCCTCTCCTGGCAGGAAAGGGCATACAAGCTGCTCCCTCCCCAAATCTGTATAAAACCAAGACAGCAGTGTACGAGAAGGAAGCTAATGTCTGGGTCCCTGTACCTAGTACTGGAAGCCACACCTCTGACTGTGGAATGTATCTACTTCCCACTGATAGGAGGCATCAGACAGCACAGACTCTGCCAGAACCCCTGAATATAGTAAGGGGCTCTGACACCCAGGTCTCTCCCCATGGTGTTCCCTTTATAAGAGCCACACACCCTTCAGGTGATCCTAACTCACATCTCAGGCTGAGACCTTCAGGGTAAAAATCCAAACAGCTCACATGGATTCGCATATGGCATGGATAAGGCAAATATCCCCAAACTTACTGAGGCTAGGGAAATATTTATAGAACATTCTTTGAATCCAATTTTTCCCCCTCTGAAGGATTATAAAGACATTCTCCAAAGAGCAACAAATTAATAAAATCAGCAGCTGGTCTCTCAGATGTACAATGGGGTGTACAATGTCTCAATGACCAGCTTTCCTGCTCACTCTTGCAATAACATCAGTTCTAGTCATGTGCCGACATGTTTAGCTATGCACATAGACCCATACAAAGGAAATTCTTCCTTCTTAGTTGAAAAAGGCCAGCAGTCCAGAGTTAGAAAATTAAATAGCCAAACATACGTTAAAAACTACAAGCGTGTCTCTGCGCACTCATATTCTGCATGAGAAGGTGAATTGCATACCATGAAACTATGCATAGATATTCTGCGACCACTCTGGATACATTTGTTTCTTTCTATCTTGGCCTTTTTTGAATAAGGCCAAAAAGTTACTTTCCAGTCCTGCCTGAGCCAGACAGACAATAGGTCAAAACTGCCAAGATAGTGTTATAAGGGAAACTCTCAATCAATTTCCCCAATGAAACAAGACACAGGTTACAAAAGACAAACTATTTCTTTGCTTCTAGCTTTTCTCAGCCTAACCTCTTCCTGATGTTTGAGGGCACAAAGTCCTGCAATGAGAAAGCAGAGCTAAGAGAAGCAATTTCCACAAAAGGTTCAAATGCAGCCAAAAGACACAACTTGGAATTTGTTCTTGAGGCCTATTCCTGGCACCCCTCTTAGCACTCATTTCCAAACTAGTTCTTATTAGCACATGCCTTGAGTGCACTAATGATGAAGATAAAAGTGGGTACGCTTCAAAGACCAGAGGTATGGAATTTAAAAGATGCTTACTAGGGGTGTGTGAAGCTTCAGTCGCCAATTTAATTCAGAGAAGATTCGGCCTGATTCAGAGGCCAAATCACTGAATCAGAATCGAATTGGGAGATGAAAAAACCTTCCAAATCGGTTCAGAGCCTCCAAATCAATTAGGAAAAGATTCAGAAAAAGATTCAGAGATTCGGAAGGGAGTCCTACAGGGAAACAGAAACTGAGAAGAGGGATAGGGAGCCGGGCGGGGGGGAACGGGACACTGACATCTGTAACTGGTCAGTGACTGTGATCTTTCCCTGAGTCCCCTTCCAATCACAGTGCTCTGGGGGAGGGACGTAGAAACAGAACATAAGCCTCTGTCTGCAGCTTTTCTGCCCCTTTTGTGAGCTGTTTCTGCCTGAGCATCGGGAAGGTCTCCTGTTATAGGCTACCATCCCTGCTGTTTTCATCCCGCTATGCCTTAACACACACACACACACACACACACACACACGTCACAAGTTTTGCTTCGAGAAGCTTGAGGTGCAGTTTCCCAGAAACCCCTGCACCTATCTCCTTGAAACTTGGCAGACTTCATGCCATCAGAAGGGGTTACAATTCCTGCTGTTTTCATCCAAACCTGACAAAAAATGACAAAGTTCTAGGTATTTCAGTGATTCCCCATTATAGTCTATGGCTGAATCACCAAATCAGTGCCAGATCTTCTGAAGCCAATTCAGCCAATCGATTCGGGACTTTGATTCGGCTCAAATCACCGTCCTCCAAATCAGCCGAATCTGAATCAGAATTGAATACTTCCCTATTTGTGCAGGCCTAATGCTCACCAACAGCCATAAGCATGCTGTGTGTACAGTTTTTTTTTTTTCCATGCAAGAAAAATCTCAGGAAAAAACAAACAAAAAACACCTGTTTTAATTCAGTGTTAGTACTGTCCAAATTAAAGTGCATCAGAAATGCAAGAATCAAGACTTCTACAATAATGTGAACTCCATCACATTGCACACACATAACATTGGAGGGTTTTAACAGGAACTAGATAAACATTTGTCAGGGATGGTCCAGGTGTTCTTAATCCTGCATCAGATCAGGAGGATGACCTCCCAACCTCCAACCCTACCATTTCTAAGCTTTTCTGTTCCAGTGGCAGGGGTGGGGATATCACACCCTCTAGAAGTGTGTGCTGAAGCTTCGCTTCACACTTGTGCTGAAGGCTGCCCTCAGTGGAACCAACTATAAAATGTACCTGATCATTCATGCTTCGGGATCACAGGAAGCCAGATATGATGCTAACCCCCCACCCATTCTCTTGTATGCTGCTGGCTTCTAACACTGAAATACCTTGGTCATGATTAACTGCCAAAATGAGATACGTCTGATTTTTTTTCTTTAAATTAACCTTTCTTTAATGATTTCCTCTATATATTAATCATTATGTCATGATACAAATGCCAGAATGTATGAGTGTACAAAACAGCCACAGTAAAGGCAACACTGAAATCTTTCATCATGTCAATTAGACTGTATCACAATCCATTAATTCATATCAAATTTTCTCTCTGTGTAGAGTGATTAGGCCACAAAATGCTTTAGTATAAGTGTCTGGGTGAAATGGCCCAGTCTTACACAATGGACCTGTTCTCTGTGTACACAAACATGGTGTAAGGTGTATTGTGTAACTAACTCATTTTTACATGCTTTTTATTCTCATCACTCTGCCAATGGGTCTAACACTGAGCAACATACATCAACAGAATTATGGGATTGCATGGTAAGCCTAATTTGACTTGCAGAAACTTCAGAATAGGTGATGACTCACAAGATGAAAGTTTTCAGTCGGAACATCGAAGTCTAAAGTGAGTTGAAGTTAGATAGAGGGTTTTTTTAACCTGTTAATTTCACAAAGCTGATATGCTTAACATTGAGATAAAGCACTCCAAGAGCTACATATTTTCTCCCAGAGCCATTTTTCAGACTAGATCTACAAAACTAAAGATCATTCTATGTGACAAGATGGCAGAACTCTCCAATAGGAAGGGACTTCAAGGTATTTATGAAATGTATTGCAATAAAAAAAACCAACACACAAAGGTCTTCTCCAATCCTTTTATTTAAAGATTGAAGCAATTTTAATCTGTTTATTTTCAAATATGCCACTATTCAATAGATTCAATTTAATGTATGTACTCCAATTAGGAGGCAGAACCTTAGATAATAATTATTTATCAGTTTTCTACTTAAAAAATAAAATGTCAAGAGTGGATCCCGATTTACCAGAGCAAGGTTTCATATTAGATGAGCAAGAAACTGGGGATGCATTAGATATTAATATCATGCATCATCAAAACAGCTAAACAACTTATGGAAAAACCCTATATGCACACCTGTAGGAACAGGACAGAGATAGACCATTTTTCAAAGAAGCTGAGATGTTCACCTGAAACCGTCTCCTTCTGACGTTACTTTTAACAATGGGTATGGTAGTTTAAAAAAAACTTGCACACAGATTTAATCAGAGGAAGTAATCAAACTACATAACTGCAAGGATTTTTTTTTTTAATTATTATTTAAGTTTTGTACCAACTTATACTAAGATCAAGGTAATAAAGTCTGGTCCTTCACGGGATCAACCTTTCCTAACTGCACATAGGCCTGTACAAGTGAATTCTTTCCAAGAGGAAAGATAAATTTGATCTAAAAATATCAGGTATAAGCCACCGCCCTACCGATGGAAAAATCCCATGCACTTAAAGTCTTCTTCTGACAACTTACATGGGATTTAACAGGATGGAGCTAGTGGCTATATGAGCATCTTGAAGTTCACATTTGTCTCCCAAGTCTTTTAATTTTCTTTCTGGATACTCCCTACACCAGACCTGCTTACCTTTCTCATGATTTTCCGTCCATAGAACATTACTTTGTCTCTCTTGCGAAATCGGTACTGAGGTACATGGGGTTGATGTTGCCCTAAAAAGACAGAAAGAGCATCATATCTTGGCAGATAGCTGGTAACTAAGAGAAAAGGATGTGCACACAGGGAGCATTCTTGCTTACTGTGTAGAATCCCACATACACTTACCAACATTCAGGTAAGACTCAGTTGTTCCTGTGGGAGCCTAGACCAACAACTTCCCATCAGTACATTTTTTAATCCATTCCCTACTTTATATGGACACCCTTGGGGATGATAAATTATTGGTGTTCAAGCTGTCCCTGGTTTCAACCCTATGCTGCTTACAGTTTATGTTACAGTTAGTCCTAGGATACATTTCAAGGAACTCTAACTATAGACATGGTGGGTGCCAGCATCTGTGCACTGCACTAGATTAAAAAGCTATACGAAACTATAAAGCAAAATATAATCCAGTCAGTGATGGTGAGAAAAAATAGTTGTGACTCCTTCAGCCAGCCCAAAGAGCAGCAGTGACTGGAGGGAACAAAATTTAGTGCTTATTTAACAAAAGGGATCATCACTTTAAAACATAGTAAGAAAGAAAGAAAAATAAGGGTGTTCTCAGAAACCTATTTCCATAAAAAGGTAGGTCTCTAAACATATGAAGATGTCTAGCAATACTGCTAAGCTATATGCATCAAACAGACCTTCCATGGAACTTTTATACTTGCAGATACGGAATTTCAGTGATTCTTAACTGGCAGTCCTGTGGTCTATGGGACAGGCTCTAAAACCCACATTCCAACTCCTTGCTTAGAACAGCTAACTGGAAGCAGGAATCAGTCCAGCTCTTCCAGGCTAAGGACAGAACTTACACATAAACTGGTTTAATTGATGAGAAACTGGTTTAAACCTGTAACAGAACAGAAGTTCAGTGCACATAAACCAGTTTCAGAACAGCTGAAACTGGCTTAAGATAAACCAGGTTGAATGCAGTATCAGCCTGCATGGGATGGGTGGTGGCAGCAGGGCTGGAAGGGGCGGCTATGGGAGTAAGGTGAATTCTGAGGTGGCCACAGCCCTCCAAACTCCTCCTAGGACCACTGCCGCTTAGCCCCCCCCATAGCCACCCCTCCCAGCCCTGCCACCACTGCTCCCCCCAACGCAGCCCCACAGCCCCAGACCCAGGCAAGACAGGCTGGCAGGGCCAGGCCACAGTGGCAAGGCCCTTGCCAACTGGCTGTGGCTCAGGCTGGGGTCATGGGAGCTGTGTGCCCAGTTTGGTCTCAGCTCTCCGTGGCCAGGCTGGGTTGTCACGGAGCCGCTCCGGTAGGCAGGGCTCTCCCCTTCTTTCTCCTCCCCCACCACAGGATGTGTATGCAGCCTCAGTGGCTTTGTGACAGCCCAGCCTGGCCCAACCTGGGCCTGGGAAGCTAGGAGCAATCCAGGTGCACAGCTTTCCTTGTCCCAGCCTGAGCCACAGCTGGCTGGGAAGGGCTTTGCCTCTCCACCCCACCCTCAGCAGTACCTATGGCCCAGCTCAGCTCAACCCCAGCCCCACACGAGGTGAGTGGACAGTGGGGCCAGGCTGGGCCACAGGGGCAGGGCCCTTCCCAGCCAGAGGTGGGGCTTGGGCTGGAGCCGTGGGAGCTGTGAGCCCAGATTGCTCCCACCTCCCCATGCCCAGGCCAGGCCAGGCCAGGCTGAGTTGTCATGGAGGGCTTTTCCCCTCTGCCTCCTCCCCTGCCACAGGGCCGGGGGGGAGGGGGCAGAGAAGAGGGGGTGCTCAGTGTGGTTCGAAGGCTGGAGGGGCACAGCACTGGGCCCCACTGTGGGGCAAGAGGTGAAAACCGGCTGCTGTAGGGCAAGGGTGGAAAAACTGTGCTCCCTGGTCCCCGCGCCCAGGCTGAGCCAGGCTGTCAGGGAGCCACTGAGGCGAGAAGGGCTCTCCCCCTCCTCCTCTGCCGCAGGGTCGGTGGAGGTGGGGAGGGGTCTGGCCATGCCCCTGAACTCACTGTTTGACTTTTTGGTGTCAGCCAACGGCCACACTCCCTCTCCTTCACTCTGCAAAGCCTGGCAACAGCTGCTTTCCCCCGCCCCCACCCCCACTCCAGGCACTGGGGCTACTGCAGGGGCGGGAAGGTTGTTTAAACCCCTCCGCAATCATACTCAGACCTGCCAGGGCCTGGCAATGTCCCCCACAAGCTCAGCTTCCGTCAGCCACTGTAGAAAGGAAAGGAGGGCTGCTCTAGTGCCCCTCGGCTTCTGGCCTGAGCCACTGCAGGCATGTGCCTCCATTCCTGGAATCAAAAGTGAACGAATGTCTATCCACTTGAAATCAGTTCAATCTACACAGGTTAGACTAACCTGCAAAAATTTAATCAATTCAGTCACAGGCTTTTTGAATGTCTGTACTTAGCCACAGAGACCCTCACTAAGTACAGCAGTGGTCACCAACCAGTCAATCCAGATCAAAAGGTTGATCCTGGAGCCTCTTTTGGTTGATCCTGGGCTGGGGGAGAGCTGGGAGTGCGTGCATGCACACTCCCCACCCCAGCCCCAGTAGATCAATCTGTGTGGGAGGGAAGTGGGGGTGCAGATCAAGGCCCCCGCAGTGAGTGACTGACTGTGCAGCCCAGCCTGGAGCACGGAAATATGAATGGGGCTCCAGCCCAGCTGTGTGGTGGAAGGATTGGAGCCCAGGGGGCTCCCCCCAATCTCTGCAGGGGTGGAAGCAGCAGAGGCAGCTGCTGCTGCATCTCAAGCCCCACTGCAAGCTGGCCACATGCAGATGCAGCTCAGCTCGGCAGTGGGGACTCACGTGGGGGTGGCCCCAGCTCAGCCAGGTCTGGTTGTCCAGTGACACATGGGGGTGGCTCGTGCCACTGGGCACAGCCTGGCAGAAGCCCCAGGGGTCCATCCTCCTTCCCTACCTGTGCTCCGGGTGCAGCAGGCAGCCCACAGCAGCAGCTGCCTCATCCCGAGTACAAGTGGGGGTGGGACACAGGTCCCTGGAGCCTCCGCCGGGTTGTACCCAATGGCAGAAGTCCCCCCCAACGTGCCCCTGGACAACCAGATCTTCCCAGACCTGCCCAAGCCAGGGACCAATCCCATTTCTGTGCCACAGCAGCCAGACAAATGCAGACCCGGTCGGGCCAGGGCCTGACGCTACAACTCTCCACGGTCCAGGGGTGGGGGGAAAACTGGGGACTCCCATTGCTGGGCACAGCCCAGTGGAGCTCCTGGGGGCCATTCCCCCCCAACCTGTGCTCAGGATGCACCCAGCAGCGAGACACTCCCCACCCCCCCACATGCTCCTAGACCGTGAAGAGTCCCAGATTCAGCTGGGCTTGTCCAGGGCCCAATCTCACATCTGTGCCACAGCTGTACTGAGCCATGCCTGCCTGGCAGGCAGACAAACGTGGCATTGGGCCCCAGCCTGGCCAGGTCTGGAAGTCTCTGTGGTCCAGGGGTGCGTGGGGGGTGCTTCTGCCACTGAGTGCAGCCCAGTGGAGACCTCAGGGGCCCATGCCCCCACCCCCAACCTGTGCTCCAGGTGCAGCAGACAGCCCAGAGCAGCTTCCTCCGAGAGCACAGGTGGGGGGTGGTATAGGCCCACAAAATGGTTGGAGACCACTGATCTACAGCAAACCCTGCTCCAACACAAAAAAGGTACAGTATGGTTAGCTCTTAAGGAAACCTGCCCCAAATCAGCTATGACACAAGTACTGCTGCCTACACTTTGTCACTGAAGCATAAGGAATGACAGCTGCACATCTATAATACAGCCCAGCCCAGAAAGAGATGCAGGATGGGAAAAGAGCTAAAGTTCACAGCTAAGAAATTTTAATTTCTCATGTCTTCTGGAACAAACCCAGGTCATTCCCAACTCTGCCTTATTTTCAAACAGCTGCAAGGCACAAAACTAAAAATCATTAACTAAGTGCTAAATTTACATTGCATAAGATGGTTAATAGCTTTGTTTGTCCAGTTCACATTTACCTATATGACCAATGTGATTAAAATGTTTACTCTTTGTTTTTAACACCTCAAAAAAACATTTGCAGTGATTTCTGTAATGTTCAAGTGCGCTCAGGCAGCTCTTTAGGAAAAATCAAAACAGGATTTAGAGAGACTAGGAGCTAACAGTACTATTTGATACAGGGAGGGCAGAAAAGCAGTCATTTGCATGTTTTTTGGACTTATCACTTTGCTAGAAGCAACCATAACTTGTGTAATAATAAAAGTCAAGCTATGATCTATTCAATGCATTAAAATATACACAGTAAAAGGAGGAAAGGAAATTGTACCGCAAAGTTCAAGAACATTTTTCAGTCTGGAAAAGGAATGCTAGATCTGTCAAAATGTAGAATAGCTAACAAGGTAGCCAGCAGACAAATGCTGCAAGAAGAAACCATGAAAGTAAGTGACACTTCCACAGATAATCAGAGCCATGAAGAACTGAAGCAAAAGGCTTTTCCAAGCTCTATTCTACCCTTTGGGGTCAACTGAGGAATATTCTCTACCTCTACAGCATGCATCCAAGTACTTTGTTCAGGTAAGTGTTTTTTTATTATAGCTCCATCTGCAATACTTAGGATCCTTCTGTCTTAGAAAGGAACAATATCCGTATCAAGTTAATGCCTTTTGGATTTTATATTAGGGAGTATCAAAAGCTAATTTTAACCTACAATCTGAAACATGACAGATGACCAACAATTGCAGATGACACCAAGCTGGGTGGAGTAGTAAATATGCTGGAGGGTAGGGCCAGGATTCAGAGAGACCTAGACAGATCGGAGAACTGAACCAAAAGAAATCTCATGAAGTTCAGTAAGGACAAGTGCGAAGTCCCGCACTTAAGAGAAAACAATCCCATGCACTGGTACAGGCTGGGGACTGACTGGTTAAGCAGTGACTCTGTAGAAAAGGACCTGGGGGTTACAGCAGAAAATAAACTGAATATAAGCCAAAAACGTGCCTTTGTTGCACAGTGTATTAATAGGAATACTGCCAGCAGACTGAGGGAAGTAATTATTCCCCTCTGTTAGGCACTGGTGAGACCACATCTGGAGTACTGCCTCTAGCTTTGGGCCCCCACTAAAGAAAGCACGTGGACAAATTGGAGATAGTCCAGCTGAGGGTGATGAAAATGGTTAGGGGACTGGGGCACATGACTTCTGAGGAGAGGCTGAGGGAACTGGGCTCATTTAGTCTGGAGAAGAGAAAACAGGGGATTTAATAAGAACTTTCAACTATCTGGAGGGTGGTGGCAAGGAAGATGGATCTAGGCTGTTCTCAGCAGTGGCAGACAACAGAACAAGGAGCAACAATCTCAAGTTACAGCAAGAGAAGTTTAGGTTAGATGGTAGGAAAAACTCTCTCACTAGGAGGATGGTGAAGCTACCCAAAAAGGCTGTAGTAAAAACTTCTAAGGATGGAGATAAAGCACAGCTAGGCAAAGCTTTAGCTGGGATGACATAGCTGGGGATGGGACTGCTTTGAGCAGGGGGTTGGACTAGATGACCTCGAGGTCCCTTCCAACCCTAATTTTCTATGATTCTAAATTGGACAGTTTGGACTTCAATATGAACCAGGAAAAGCAAGAGCCAGAAAATACATAATCCATGTTTTGACTGGTTAGTGGATCTGTTATCTGTCCTTCACAGTGCACTTCTTTCCCATTCAATCTCAGAGAGATTTCCCTATTATTCTGAGTTATTTATATACCAATATTGACACTGAGGAGATTAGAATGTGCTAAAGAAACAAAACCCATCTATTTTTTAGTAAGGCTGTCAAATGATTAAAAAGTGCAATCATGATTAGTTACGCAATTAGAAAAAATAGTCACAATTAACTGTGATTTTAATCACACAGTAAAACCCTCAAAATTATGAGCAGCAAAATTCAAAATTATGCAAAATTATGAAGCTACTTTGTATGGCTGGGGGGTGGGTGTGGGGTGTGTGTTGGGAGGAATTTGTGAAGGTGTGGCAGGCTGTGGGTGTGTGTGTGGGATTTGGAGCCCATGGAGGGGGGTTGCCCACGGGGGTCTGAAGCAGGGGGAGGGGGGACCCTCGCAGTCCCTGGCAGGATGCCCAATCTGACCAGGGTCAGCACAGAGCTGCCTCAGGCCCAGGGTGCACTCCTGCCTGAGCACAGCCCCAGCGGCAGTGGGCTCACCGCACCCTCGCTATAGCAACTGCAGTCGCAGGCAGCCCAGGCGGGGGGCAGCTACTTCGGCCCAGGCACAAACTTCTCCACTTACTTCCTCAGTGGGTCCCAGGTGGTCCTGACCCACCCCAAGCCCAAGGATGCCAGACAGCCCCGCTGCAGCCCAGCACTGCCGTCCCCAAACCCCCGGTACTGCCAGCCCAGCTGCTCGGGGCCCTGGATGGGGGTGGGAGTGCCCTTCCCCCCACACCCCCTTCCTGCTACAGCCATCCAGAACCTGCATCCTGCTGGGACCCAAATGGAGCCACCACCGTGGGGCTGCCTGGCACCCTCAGGCCCCACGGCTCAGGCTCAGGGCAGGTTGGGATTGTCTGGGAGCTCCAGCATAAGCTGCCTCCAGGCCCCCTGGCCCAGGCCGCCAGGGAGCGGCAGCAATGATGGCCTCGCACCGTGCCCCCACAGAGGCAGCCGCTGCAGGCGGGCAGGGAAAAGATGCCCACAGAGCTACCTCCTGCAGCCCCTGGTCCATGCCACACTGCACGCCCATCCCCAGCCCAGTGCCACTGGAGCCCAAGCCGCACTCAGCAGTGCCGCCACAGTGCTGGACAGAGACAGTGCTCTCCTCCCTGCGCAACCCAGGCTCCTGCCAGGACCTGCACAGAGCTGCTGGACCTGCTGAGTCCGGGTAGAAGTCCAGGCAGTGCAGAGAGCAGAGTGACAACTCTGCCTAACTTGGCAGTGGCACTGGGGTTTGGAGCCTCACAGAGCACTGGGCTGGGGCCAGGCATGTGGCAGGTCGGGGCCTGTGGGAGATGGCTCCACAGGAATCCCGCCCCTGCCCACTGGCAGCGGCTACCTCTGTGGGAGCACAGGACATGGGGCCACCATTGCTGCCGCTCCCCAGGACTAGGGATGTGCAGGGACTTGTGGGCCTGGAAGCAGCTCATGTTAGAGCTCCCAGGCAGGCCTGACCCACCCTGAGCCTGAGCCATGGGGTCCAAGAGTGCCAGGCAGCCCCACCGCAGCTCAGCACCACCTTCCCCGAGCCCCCGGTGCTGCCAGCCTGGCTGCTCAAGGCCCTGGGTGGGGGGTTGTTCATGGGTGCAACTCCCCCTTCTCTCCCCTTCCTGCTGCAGCTGCCTGGCGCCTGCACCCAGGCTGTTGCACAACTGTACTGCACTGCCACTGCTGCCCTGTGAAGCAGCAGTAATGGCCGCACGGCAGGGCAGCCGGGGCACAAGCTCCAGAACCACGGATTACTGGTTAAAAAAAAATTAACACATTAATCTGTTCTTGCGTTAATCGTGCACGTTAACAGCGACAAATAGTCCTTATTTTTAGCTTGAGCACCTCACACTTTGACAGTCAGCACCACAACCCCCATGTTTTTCAAAGGCTACTTTCCTGCATAAATTGTTATCTCCACACTACCTATATTAGGATCTCCCACACTACATTATGGAAATATTACATAAAGGAAACCATGGAGACAGCTATGCTTTAAAGCATCGGTAGTGAGTTGAGTACTTACTAGATTGCTTCACTTTTCTGTAAACAACAAACACGACAATCCCTATAAGGAACAACGCGACTGCAGCTCCAATCACTATTCCAGTCAGCTGTGGGAGAAGGTTATGAAAAAGAGTAATGTAAAGGTTTTTTAAAATATGGTTTGGCTTACAGCAGCTACAAGAATATTAAACAAAATACTTAAGGACTAGGTCAGAGCACATGGGTGACTGGTGCCTCCTGAGTCAGAGGGGACACTTGCCCCACCCCCGGGACCAGTCAGCAACTGGAGGGGGGGCAGTCCCCCATGGCTGATCACACCTGTCAGAGGGTGCACCAGCGCTCTCAGCATGCTCTCACCCCCGTGCACCCTCTACGCATCACCACTGTTGCAGCACATTCAGAGATGTTTCTTTGAAAACAAGAAGCAACCCAACTACAACAGAATTTGAAGTATCCCACTTTTTCATTTAAACTGTTCCCCAATGTCCCTCCCAAACATTCAGCCCTGAGATTCTATGTCACTTATCACACTCCAATTAACTGATCCACTAGACGAGTGTTTCTCAACCTGTGCGTTGTGACCCAAAAGTGGGTCACAAGAATATTTGAAAGAGTTGTGAACAATCACAGCAAAATGTGGGAAAGCATGGATTTCCCTTTGCAGACTGGTAGCCTTTCCAGCCTGCAAGGGGCTACCTGGGGCTGGGAAGAGTGGGATGCAGAGGGCACCATGTGCATCTGCACATGGATATGGCAGCCAGGCAGGATGGAGAGCAGCTCCTTGCAAGTAAGTCCACGGGGCGGGGCGGGGGGGGGGGGGGGG